TGGACTGGATGAGCTGGTGTTGAGTCGGGCCTTGGGGGGGGCCCCCTTTTTATCTTTTAAAAAAATATATTTTTATTAATTTCGGAGAGGAAGAGATAAAACGTCAATGATGAGAGAGAATCGTGGATCGGCCCGCCTCCTGCACGCCCCCTACTGGGGATCGAGCGGGTAACCCAGGCGTGTGGCCTTGACCGCAATCGAACCTGGGACCCTCCAGCCCGCAGTCAGACGCTCTGCCCACTGAGCCACAGCAGCCAGGGCCCCTTTTTGTCTTTGGGGTGCCTTGCTGCCTCGGACGCTAAAAATATTTCTACCGCCTTGGCTGGGTGGGTCGGTTGGTTGGAGCGTCATCCCGCACAAGGGAAAGGTTGCGGGTTCGATTCAGGTCAGGGAGAGTGCCTACGTTGAGGGTTTGATCCCAGTGAGGGCACAATAAGAACCAACCGATGAAAAAAACAACAAAAAAAAGAATCAACGAATGATTGTGTAAGTAAGTGGAACAACAAATCTCTCTCTTTCTCTCTCTCAAATAAATCAATAAACCTGGCGGGTGTCGCTCAGCGGCTGAGAGTTGAGCCTTGAACCTGAGAGGTTCCCAGTTTGACTCCCAGTCAGGGCACATGCCTGCGATTCAGGCTCTGTCCAAGAGGCAGCGGATAGATGTTTCTCATCAATTTCTATCTATCCCTTTCCCCCTCTCTCTCTAAAAGAAGTCAATAAAAAGCCATATTAACCCTAACCGGTGTGGCTCAGTGGATAGAGCATCCGCCTGCGGACTGAAGGGTCCCAGGTTCGATTCCGCTCAAGGGCATGTACCTTGGTTGTGGGCACATCCCCAGTGGGGGGTGTGCAGGAGGCAGCTGATCAATGTTTCTCTCTCATTGATGTTTCTAACTCTCTATCCTTCTCCCTTTCTCTCTGTAAAAAATCAATAAAGTATATATTTTTAAAAAATAATAATCAGAGCCAAGGAACTCAAATACAAGCAGAAGTATATTTAGAAAGTCACAGAGGTAGAAGTGACACGTGGAGGAAGTGAGCCAGCCAGGCTGCGTGGACTCAAGAAGCAAAGGCAGGTGACTCGAGGGAAGAAGGGGGTGAAGGGAAGGCTCTGGCCTGCTCAAGAGAGAGAGCGGCTTAAAATCAATATTATGTTGTTTATTAGGGGTGGGGGAAATGCAGCATGATTTTTAAAAATATATATTTTATTGATTTCTTAGAGGAAGGGAGAGGGACAGAGAGCTAGAAACATCGATAAGAGAGTAACATTGATCAGCTGCCTCCTGCACACCTCCCATTGGGGATGTGCCTGCAACCAAGGTCCATGCTCTTGATCAGAATTGAACCTGGGACCCTTCAGTCCACAGGCCAACACTCTATCCCCTGAGCCACACCAGTTAGGGCATGCAGCATGATTTTTTGATGATGTTCTCTTATCTCAAGACTACAAGATGGGATCATGGCAAGAAACATCATGCACACTGAGGTGTGAGGACAGGTTCCTGAAAACCAGTATGAAGCAGGAACTCTATGACCCGTGTGCTTTCTCCACGTGTTGTTTAAGCAGCTTAATGGGACAGGTTCTGTGACTGTGGCTAAGTGTATTCATGTTTGACGAGGTATGAAACGTACACAAAGAGGGTGAACACGGCAGACTGAGGCTGCACATGTTCAAGGTCCTAAAATGTAAAGTTGGCCCTTGGCTGTCATCCGGGAAGTAGGCTTTGAGTATTGTCTGTAGGCTGATGCCTCACTGTGCCCAGTCTCTGGGAAAAAAAAAAAGTAAAAAAACATTATTTGCACTGAGCCCTTGCTATGCTTCTGGGAGTGTGGACTTTGGCACATGCTGGGCAGAAGGTGCCTGCTTGCCTGGTTCTGTGCTGTGTGTGTGACCACCTCAGCGATGTTAACTTGCACACGGCT